GGCCAGCCCTCAAGCCTAGGGTGGGCGGCCGGTCATCGGCTTGTTTTGGCCCCTCGTAGCGAATCGAGGGCTTGTGCTAATCGCTGGCGAAGACACCCGTTGGCACCGGCTCTCGGTCCGACGCCGCTTTTGCCAGCGTGTCGGCCGCCTTGGAATGTGGTTGAGCTCGAGGCCGTCGAACTTGTCCTCTAGCTGGTGAACTTCTTGGCAATATGCAGCCATCTTGGGGTCATGGCAGCTCGACTCCTTCATGACTTGGTCGATGACTAGTTGGGAGTCGCCCCGGACGTCGAGGCATCGGATGCCCAACTCGATGGCGATGCGCAGGCCATTGATGAGAGCCTCATATTCGACCACATTGTTGGAGGAGGGGAAATGGATGCGGACCATGTACCTCATACGTACCCCAAGGGGTGAAATGAATACTAGCCCCGCACCGACGCCTTTCTTCATCAGCGATCCATCGAATTACATTGTCCAGTAATCTTGGTCGACGATTGCTGGTGGCATTTGGACCTCGATCCACTTTGCAACGAAATCAGCCAACACTTGGGACTTGATGACCGTCTGGGAGGCATACGTAATGCCCTGACCCATCAGCTCGAGTGCCCACTTCGTGATTCTTCCCGTGGCATCCTGGTTTTAGAAGGTGTTCCAACCATGTTCGCACCGAATCGGTCAGGAACAATGGAAGATTGTGGATAATGAAATCATCATTATCCGCTCCACCGGCTTGGCAGGCAAGCCGATAATCCTTGAGCCACAGTCTGGGGTTCGTTTCCCTAGAGTATTTCGGGATGTTGATTGGTGGTCGGTACCTTGGCGGGAAGGCGGCGTTAAGGATGTGTCGACCGAAGGCCTGAGGCCTCGGGAGGCCAGGGCTTAGGCTTCAATCCTCGTCACTGTCGTAGCGTCCGCCATGATGAGGGTGATAGCCGTGGCTAGCTCCCTCTCTTGGCTCGTCGTGGGTGCGTCTGCGGGCGTCGAGGGTGTCATGTGCATCATGGTTGCGGCCAAGACGCTCATGCACTAGGACCGCGGTGCGCTGCCTGCCGCCTTGTGGTGCCTGGTGGATTGATGCAACCTTGTCGGTTCATTCTGAGGGCATGCGCTGGCTGGCGTCGAGCTCACGTCACCGAGACAGTGAGCTCTCGGCCTACTGCACCGCCGCACGCTCGAGCAGCGTGCGAATCTTGAGGTGGGCACGACGATCCTTAGGTGTCACGGACCTCAGAAGCCCACGGAGCAAGGCCACCGTAGCAGCGATGTTCTGGCTTGCTCGGACGAAGTGCGGGAGGGCTTCATCGTCAGTGATGATCCTCTGGTTCACGTCGTAGGCCATGGCATGCGCATGCCCACCGTCTCCATGGCGCTCGATCTCTGGATCGAGCTCCGCGTGTTCCTGCTCGAGCTAGACTTGTGCTTCCTCGAGCTCTTGGTGCTGGGCCTTTAGTTGCTCCACCTGTAGGCGGGATGGGCCCCCCATCTCCCCCTCGACCTCGTCGTTGAGATCGTTTGTCGGGGTAGCCTCCTCTTCATGGATGCTTTCGACGTGTCCCTCAGGGATACCTGCCATGAAACACTCACGAGAGGGGTGATGACTCCCCCTGCAGGAGTCAGAGCCAGAGGGCGACTCTGACTCTCCCGCGAGGAGGTCGTGGAAAGACTCCGTGACATATTCGGTCATCCCCACAAACTCATCGTTCGTGGGGACAGAGGCGTGCGTCGTGCCACAAGGTGCCCATCGGTCTCTACAGTGTTGCGGACGCCGAACGAGAGCGCTGTCGGGGCGCTCCGGATGAGGTATGCCAGAGAGAGTGGCTCCCCTCCGGCAAGCTATGCCATGATGTTGGCGAACGAGAAGGTGAGGTGGCGCAGGTCTTCTCGGGACGGCCAGGGCCCTAGGAAGGCACCGAGCTAGCGCTCTAACCTCTCGTAGTCGAAGTCAAGGAGCTGATTGCTCCTGGAGGCGTGGGCCTCCGATGCGTGCAGTTGTAGCTCCTCAAGTGCCTCGGCGATCGCGTCGAGGCCGGCGGAGTGGAGAGGTGGGACGGCGACAGGAGCCATCGCCAACTCTCCCTCCGACATGACAATGAAGTCTAGGTCCCCGAATCGCACGTGCATGCCTAGGACCCAGCTGAGGTTGTGACTAGCCATTCGAGGCCTAGTGTGGATGTCGAGATGCGCAAAAGGCCCCTACCTAGCGCACCAGCTGTCGGTGTTTCGAGTTGCCACCAACAAGTAAATTTCTAATATCGCTCGTCTGGCTCGGATGGTGTGCTAAGAGGACACGATGTTTATACTGGTTCGGGCAGAATGTCCCTACGTCTAGTTTGTTGCTGCTGCTCGTGTTACTAGCACTAAAAGTTCGTAGTAGGGGTTACAAATGGACAAGAGAGGGACAGGTCCCAAGTCTCTGATGGAAAGGATGAACGGGTGCCGAGAGCTCGGTTGCTGCTCGGTTGTATGTTTGGGGTTCGATGAATTGATCGGATTCGAGTCTCCTGTGGTGTGTTGCGATGAGTTCCGATCGTTGGTCTGATGCTCGCTAATGGGATGCCCCGCTTTCCCTTTTATAGGCTAAGGGAAAGCAAGGGTTACAGCGGGGAAAAAAGGAGAGTTAGAAGGAGAAGAAGTCCTTCAGGATCGCCGGGTCCTTCTTTTCTTCTATGCGGGTCCCGTCGACCCTGTAGACGTCAACAGAGACAGCTTCACGTCGCGGCCCTATCCGTCACTGGCGCCATGCGTAGACGTCATCTCCTGATCATGGCACTCCACTCTATCCTGGCGGATGTCGTGGCGAACTAACGCGCCTGTCAGTGTTTGTATGAGGGTTAGGCAGAAAAGCACCTGTTCGCCCAACGCTGTTCCTGATGTGAATCCTTAGGTATGGCCCATCATGGCCACGGGTTATATCGGGGCGTGCGGTCACCTCCCTGGTGTGAGAGCTTTGACCCAGGCCCATGCGCTTGGACCTGGAGCGGTCGGTGGCGGTATGGGTCTCCGTCGGGCAAGACGGAGCCCATGGCCTCGGTGTCGGGCAAGGTGGAGCCACCCTCAAGGGTTGGGCGTGGCAGAGCCCACAGCCTCGGTGTTGGATGAGGCAGAGCCCACCCTTAGGGGTCGGGTGAGGCGGAGCCCACGGCCTCTGTGTCGGACGAGGCGGAGCGAACCCTTAGGGGTCAGGGGAGGCGAAGCCCACGGCCTCGGTGTCAGGCGAGGCGGAGCCACCCTCAGGGGTTGGGCGAGGCGGAGCCCACGGCCTCAGTGTTGGGCGAGGTGGAGCCAACCCTCAGGGGTCGGGCGAGGCGGAGTTTGCGTACTTGGAGGTCGGGTGGAGCTATAGTCGCACTCTTGACTGCTCGGATGAATCAATGTTGATGGTTATTAGCTCCTCCTCTTCGGGTACCCTGGTATTGGTCCCCGACAGCGTTATATGTTTGGAGTATGCTTAAAGCCAAAAGCGGTGTCATTTTTTTTGAAGAAAAATCTAAATAGATGGCAGTGAGGAAAAACTATATTTTTGGATGGCATGAAAAATGTTATAGTTTTAAAAGGCATGCATTGTCTTGCAGTTTGATTTGATTCTATTTTAGCACCTAAGTTGGTATGGTATATGTTTCATCAGGCAAGGAAATTTTTTTGGGACGGATAGATCCAAGTCCACTGACGTGCGCATCGGCAATATATAAGCAGACCATCGTGCCCTACATAGGAATCTGGGTTCTCGAAACAAACCATGGCCGATACGCGCCGCCGCTGCCGCCTCCAGCTACAGAGGGAGAAGAACTAGTTGGCCTCTGAGTAGTGGGCCACCACAGCTGCCCCGTTCCAATGCCTGCTGCCCGAGCTGCTGGCCGAGATCCACCGCGCGTCGGGGCAAAACCTACTAGAGACGCCGTGGCTCCTCCTCCCCGGACCCCAGGAGTACGATGAGAAGGCAACGATCCTGTCATTGGCCAGTGGGAAATCCGTGTCCGTGCGCACTTCGGACGTCGCCATGGGTTGCTCGTGATGGTCGACGATGTTGGAATCGGTGATGACTACCGAGTTCTCGATCTTGAAGCTGACTTGCAATCTTAGGTTCCTTAGAGCACACAATTCATTCATAAGCTTAGCTTTCTTTGACTCAAAAAAAGGATGATTCTATTCTCTTAAGAGTAGGTCAAATCCCCTATACCAATCTGCCATTTCTCCCTGACTTGGTCTGCTGGATGGAATGCTGCTTTTAGTTTTAATAAATCTTGATATTGATTCCATAGAATATCGAATGGATTTGTTATGTCATGACGGTCTGCACCGCAATGCTGATATTGATTCCATAGAATATCAAATGGATTCGTTATGTCACGACGGTCTTCGCCGCAATGCTTAGCTCTTTTGGTCTGAATGACAATCAGGATGGGTCGCAATGCTGATATTGATTCCATAGAATATCGAATGGATTCGTTATCACAACGGTCTTCGCTGCAATGCTTAGCTCTTTCGGTCTAAATGACAATCATGATGGGTGTGGAAATGCTCTCGGGATATGAATGAAAATCTTCATCTGAATGAAAATCAGGATGGGTGTGGAAATGTTCCCGGGATATGAATGAAAATCAGTCCACCGGAGGTGGAGGTTCTCTCGCCTTATATGTTGTGCTACCCCACCATTGCTACACGATGTGGGGTTGGGGGTTCTCCCACCTTATATGTTATGCTCCCTCACCATCGCTACACGATGTGGGACTAAACCCCAACAATCTCCACAACATACAAGGCGGTCACCACCGGTTCCGACAGACGAGCGGGGCGCCATACGCGTGGCTAACCCAGTCACCGGGGTGCACGCCGACCTGCCAGCCATCTCCACCATCCCGTTCCTCCACCTGGTTTTTGGCGTCAGCTGGTTCTGCCTCGACGTAGACCCCTTCCGGCAGATCCATTTCAGATGCTCACCCCCATCGAAACTCGAAGGTCGCGGCTGGCTGAGGACGTCGACGTACAAAGCCACCCAGATGCGGCAGGTCTTCTACCGCAAGGTCGTCCTCTCCGCGTCACCGCGCCCCGATAGCTACGCCGCCATGCTCATCATGGACTGGGCCTTCGCAATGGCGGAGGAGGAGGACCCCGTGTGGAGGATGGCGCCCTCCCACGACGGCGTCGAGGACGCCATACACCACGGTGGCCATTTCTTGTCGATCACCTACACCGGCCATGTCAAGGCATGGTAGCGCAACGTTGAGACCAGCGAGTTCACCAGCGACGCCGCCGACGCGGTCGTGCACTATGTCACACAGGGTTTGTAGGGGCGGCTCAAGACCATCTGTAGGGGCGGTTTGGCCAGCCGCCCCTACCAAACCGTCTCCACAAATCATGCATTTGTAGGGGTGATTCCCAGACCGCTGTCGATGTTTTACCACCGATAGCCTACCATGAGGGTACCTGGGGCAGTTTGTTCGGGCTTCGGCGTTTGCAGAACTCGATGGTGAACGCAAGAGACAGTCGATTTATCCTGGTTCGGACCCTCGATCGTTGATCGAGTAATAGCCCTACGTCCAGTCGGCGTTAGCCTTTGTGTTGGATTGATTGTGAAGTGTTGTGTCGTCTCGTCTCTAGGAACCTTGCCCTCCTTTATATAGTCAGGAGGCCAGAGTCCTAGTCGGTTTACAATAAGGGTTCCTAGTAGGATTATAGAATAATACTACTACTAGGATTACATGGGAAGAATCCTAGTTAGACTAGATCTTCTCCCTTCCTTGCCGGGTATCCCATGGGTCCCGCACCGACAAGCCCCCGAGCACTTCATGGTTGAGCTCTAGAAGCCTCGTCTTGTTCCTTTAGTTCTTGCCAAGCAGGATCAAGCGTCGTTCGAGTGCTTTCTAGAGCGAAACCGTGTAGCGCTTCGTGAGATCTTCGTGTGATGTGTACCTTTTTGAAGAAAAAAGTACTCCTATTTGGGTGTAGCCCCCGAGCCTCTTGCTTTTTAGCACAAGGAGCTGGAGGGTCTTCTCTTGAAATCACTCTGATTCTTTGTCATTGGGTTCCTGAGCATATACCCGCGTTCTTTATCAAAAAGAGCTCGGATATAGCTAGGTCCGGGTTCTTTTTGTCGTGATGTCTTGAAGTGATCTGTCTTGAAGAAGTATTCTTGGCGATGTGCACTTTTTTGGAGAAAAAAGAGCACTCATTGAGTGTAGCCCCCGAGCCTCTTGCTATTTGGAACAAAAAGTTGGAGGGTCTTGAATCTTATGTTGTTTGAAAACTGCTGTCTTGAATAAGTCTTCTGAGTGATGTGCGCTTTTTTGAAGAAAAAGTTCACTCACTGAGTGTAGCCCCCGAGTCTCTTGCTATTTGGAACAAAGAGTTGGAGGGTCCTGAATCTGAGTTGTTCAAAGAACTAAAAACCTCTCCTGTTGTAGCCCCCGAGCTTATACCTAGGTTCTTTTATTCGAAAAGAACTCGGATATAGGATCTTGGCATGTTCTCTGGTAGTCTGCTGTTGTCAGATGTAGTTGTATGGTGGTAGTTGAGAGTAAATGTTGTTTGGCCACGAGTTGTACAATGTTGGTATATTCTTCCGAATATGCTCGTTCTTGAGTACTGCTCCTTCACGCCTGAGTCCTCTTTCATTGAATTCTGTCTTTTCACTATGTCCTTCGTTAGGTTTGTTCCATTGATGCTCCCGGTCCTTGTGCACCGCTTCTTTGGTCTATAAATACCCTCCTGGTGTGATGTTTTGATTCATCGAGCATTTTGTTGCGTGGTCTGAAATCTCTGTAGTCATGAATATGATAGTTTGTGAAGTAGAGCAGCCCCCGGGCGTATTTTGTAGTTCTTGTGTATCTTTTCATAGCTGGAGGGAGTCTTGTGATAGGAATTAGAGGTAGACTAATCCCACAGCGGCATTGTACTTGGAAGTACGTGGCGGTAGTTGGAGGAAGTCTTGTGATGTGGGATACGTTCCTTCATCCAACAGTTCTGGGTTGATCCTCTTTGTCTGCCCTAAGACTGTCCGATGCAGATCAACACCATATCCAGCATCACATCGGACTTGGGTAGACAGATGCCTACCGGATTCCCCTGGTCTATGTTGTCTCGCCGAGCTACTGATTTCCGCCTTGGATGCACTGCGTCCGTCCTTTGAAGAAAACAGTGTCGCCGAGTGCGGTTTGTTCTACCTAGTAGCAATTTGGAACACATAGTCTTTCTAGAGCCTAGCTGTGTCCGGGTTCCTCTTTGCTACCATGCCTGTTGTAGTACCGAGTTCGTTGGGTCTTGTAAGATGTGTAATCTTATATTTTTTGAAGCCATTTGTAATGGAAAGAATCTTGTCTTCTGAATTGTCATTCTTTTTTCTGCTGAAGTTCTGGTTGTTTATGAGATCCCCGAGTTCTTTCTATAAGAACTGGGTTCTTATGTTCCTTGTGAGGTAACCCTTCATTGCTTCATGGTTGATGGGTTCTTTTTGTAGCAATATAATAACTCCGCCGTGGTGCTGGATGGATAAGTCTGAAATCTGCCTGTTGAACTGTACCGTTGTGTGGATTTGTGCCATCCGTCATTTTAGCTGTGTCAGTAAATGGACCGTTGCGTTCTCATGCCGTGTTAAAACGGGCCTAGTGGGCCGCATTTTACTGTTGTAAAATATTTTTAAAGGCCTTTGTTCTTCTTTTTCTTTAATGCCTTACTTTTGCCTTGAAACCCTAGTCTTAAACACTCCACCGCCGCCATTGTCACCATCATCTGAGCGCCGCCACCTGAGCATCACCTTCCCTTAGTGCTTTTATTGCTTTCGCTAGTATATGGGTAGGAAGAAGTCAGCGAGCAAGTCCTAGGCAGCCTTTGTGGATGAGGAGGCCTCGCTTTCCATGATCGAGAATCAAGAGTTCATGGCCATGAGGGCCGCTTAGAAGATCTGGCTGGCTCCGACTACAACTGAGGATCAGCTACACGAGCTTGTCAGTGATGGCCTGATCCAGAGCAAGGATATTGCTGATTGGAGAGCTCCAGGTGAGCATCGGGTGCCTGCTCTAGGTCCTGGTGAGATTATTCTTTTTGTCTCCTTTATCCGTGCCGGACTCTACCTCCCGGCTTCTGCTTTTCTTCATCGGTTTCTTAGCTATTTTGGGATTAGCCTGAATCATCTTGCTCCCAATGTTGTCCTTCATCTTTCTGTCTTTGTTCATCTTTGTGAAACTTTCCTTGGAATTCCTCCTTCTCTTTCTCTCTTTCGTTACTTCTTTCGTTTGAAGCCACAACCTCGCCGCGATGACACCAGCGTTCTTGGTGGCTGCGGGATTCAGTTTTGCCAGGGTCTTAAGAGCAAATTCTTTGACTATAACCTAGTTGATTCTATGAGGGATTTGCGTGTCGACTGGTTTTACGCCGCCAATTTGATTCCTCCTCTTGCTGTTCATTCTAGATCTGGTTCCTTAGTTAATGACCGATGGGATAAGAACCCTGTGACGACAGCTGAGGTTCAGGCGATCAAGCTATTTCTTGAGAGGATTTGTACTCTGAAATAGCAAGGCTTGACCGGCTTCAGGATTATTTTTAGTTTTCTTCGCCGCGAGTTCAACCTTTGAAGGAGTGGGAAAATTATGATTTTGAGTACTCTGGGGCGGAGGACCCTTCTCGTATGGTTCCTGCCCTTGAGTTGACTGATGAGGAGGTGCTCGAGCATCTTCAGAAGATGCTGAAAAGAGTGAGCATCGTCCCGCTTGCTGTCCTTGAGTACAGTGCTAACAACCCCCCTACTGTGAGTTGTTCTTTTCATATTCAGGTACTTTTGTGTGTCTTTTGTTGTATCCACTTTTTGCTTAATCTTCCTTGTCTTGTTGTTTTACTCTTTCCTAGGAATTGGGGCGTAACTTTGCTAATCCGATTCCTCTTGATGATTGCCCTGTAAATGTGGAGGCTGGGGATAGTCTTGCTGGGGCATCCTTGACCAGTAAGTTTCAAACCACCACAATATTTCCTGGCGTTTCTTCTGCAAACCTTGATGTATATGTAGAGTATGTTCCTCGTCCAGTTCCTCAAGCTCCTCGTACTGTCGGAAAGAGGGGGCGAGCTGAGGGTTCTTCTTCTGCTTTATCTGCTGCCAAGAAGTCTCGCCAGTCGAGTACTCATCCAGGTACTCTAGTTGTAGCTAGCATGCTCTTAGGTGAGCATATTAATACGCTTTATCCTTTTGTTGTTTGTTTTTGTCTTTGACCGAGTACTTTTGTCCTTTTTCAGCTGGTGCTATGGTGGCCTTGGCCGAGAGTGAGGAAGAAGAGGATGATGATGCCGCCCTTGTTACTCGTCGATGAGTTGTTTTCTTGTTTTCCTGTTGTTTGAACCCCTCTCTTTGTTTTGACTTTGGTCTTGTTCTCTTGTAGTAAGCGGTCGTTGGGTTCGAGTTCTTCTGGGGCTCTAGTATCGACCACGCCACTCTTGTCGTAGGGTGGTGGTGATATCTTTGCTGCGATAGTTCCTCCTCTGAGATCCTCTGTTCGTTTTGGGGATTTTTTGAAGAAGAAGATTGCTAAGTGAGTGAGCCCAGGCTTTGTTTCTTTGCTTCTATTTTTCCTTTTTCCTGATTTATATTCTTATCGTCGAATTTCCTTATCGTCTTGTAGGCCCTCGCCTTCCCTTAACCCTCCGCCGACCTCTTGTCAGTCCTCTGATGTGCCTCTGTGTGCTGAGTCTGGGGACTTGGCATGTACGGTCGGCGAGGTGGCTGTGAGGGAGACAGGGTTCCCTGAAGATCACGTTGCTGCTGACTCGGTGGCTCCGGAAGTGACCGTGGCCACGGCGGTGGGTTCTTCTAAAGAGGTAGCCGGGGCTTCCCAGGATATGGCCCTGGCCTTGCTTTCTTTGCATCGGGCGACTTCTCCCTCTGCTCCTCTTGGAACCGGTGATCAGCGCTTGGACGATGATGTGCTGCAGCAGTTTGACGCCACTCATCGGTTATCAGAGCTGACTGCTGCCTGGGGAGCCTTTGCAACTTCTTTTGGGGAAAAGCTCCAGGTAAGTTTTTCTAAAGTTCTTTCTTTGGATGTTCGTCTTTGTCTTGTTCTTATGCCCTTTTTCTCTCTCTCTCTTTTTGCTCAGTCTTTTTCTTAAGATCATACCGGCTTCTTTTTCTCGTCTGAAACTGAGAAAAAGTTGTCTTCTGAAGTGAGCACCCTAAAGGCAGAGCTTGACCTCTGTCAGGCCGAGTTGGACACCGAGCGTCAGATGCATTAGA